CGGGCGGCTCGGCTGCTGGGCGGCTCGGCGGCGCGGCGGCTCGGCTGCGCGGGGGCTCGGCTGCTTGGGCGGCTCGGCTGCTGGGCGGCCCGGCGGTGCGGCGGTGCGGCTGTGCGGTGGCTCAGCTGCTCGGGCGGCACGGCTGTTGGTGGAGCGGCGGCCCGGCGGTTCAGGTGCAGCAGCGGGGCCGGTAGATGCAGCGGCGGGGCCGTCAAGTGCAGCGGCGGGGACGGCGGGGCCGGCAGGTGCAGCAGCGGGGCCGTCAGGTGCAGCGGCGGGGCCGGCAGAGGGGACGGCGAGGCCGTCAGAGGGGACGGCGGGGCCGTCAGGTGCAGCGGCGGGGCCGGCAGAGGGGACGGCGGGGCCGTCAGAGGGGACGGCGGGGCCGTAAGGTGCAGCGGCGGGGCCGGCAGAGGGGACGGCGGGGCCGTCAGGTGCAGCGGCGGGGCCGGCAGAGGGGACGGCGGGGCCGCGTCTGAGCGGGCGGCGGGGCCGGGTCTGAGCAGGCGGCGGGGCCGCGTCTGAGCGGGCGGCGGGGCCGCGTCTGAGCAGGTGGCGGGGTCGCGTCGTAACGGGCGGCGGGGCCGCGGCTGAGCAGGCGGCGGGGCCGCGTCTGAGCGGGCGGCGGGGCCGCGTCTGAGCAGGCGGCGGGGCCGCGTCGCAGCGGGCGGCGGGGCCGCGGCTGAGCAGGCGGCGGGGCCGCGTATGAGTGGGCGGCGGGGCCGCGTCTGAGCAGGCGGCGGGGCCGCGTCGGAGCGGGCAGCGGGGCCGCGTTTGAAAGGGCGGGCGGGGCCGCGTCCGAAGTGGGCGGCGGGGCCGCGTTCGAAATGGGCGGCGGGGCCGCGTCTGAAATGGCGGCGGGGCCGCGTCTGAGAGGGCGGCAGGGCCGCGTCTGAAGGGGCGGCGGGGCCGCAAGGGAAGGGCGACACGGAGGGTCGCTCTAGCGAGAGAAAAAAAAAGTTAGCGCGCCTCGGGGCGCGCTTCGGTGGGCCCTAGGCGAAGTTCCCACCGGGAACCCGCTCTATACCATGTGAGATTTGTAGAACAGGAATGAAATGACTAAGTCAAAGTTGGGTACAAATGCAAACCCTAGAAAGCTGTACCCCATATGTGCTACCCCACTATAGCCTACAACAGCTATGTCATATATATCTGACACCAGGTCCCCCCTCGGTAGACCCCCCCCCCCCTCAGGGTCCTGCCCCTTCAGGTGTGTCCCAGGTAGACGCAGTCGAGCCGGTCGAGGTTGCTGGTGACTCTGGTACTGCTGCGGGTGCTGAGCCTGGGGGTGCTGACTCTGGGGGTGCTGCGCGAGTGGGTGCTGAGCCTGGGGGTGCTGAGCCTGGGGGTCCTTCGCCTGGGGGTGTTGCGTCTTGAGCTGCTGAGCCTGGGGGTGCAGTGTCTGGAGCTGCTGAGCCTGGGGGAGCGGAGCCAGCGGCCGCTGGACCTGCTCGTGTGACGTCTGGCGGTGCTGGGCCTGGAGGTTCTTCTGGTTTTTCTCGGCGGGAGCCACTCTCTCCACAGGAGTTGCGCGAGTGGTTTGCCCGGCGCTGGCCGCATACTGCTGGGGCTAGAGCTTCTTCGGCCGCGGAGGGTGCTGGTGCCGCTGGTCCCGGAGGTGCTCGTCCGACTGGAGCTGGGGCTACTGAGGGTGCTGGCACTGAGGCTACTGGTGTCAGTCCTGGAGGCGGTCCTGCTGCGGGTCCTGCTGGTGCTGCTAGAGGTACTGCAGCTGGAGGTGATGTTGGCGCTGGTGCTGCTAGAGGTGCTGCGGGTGCTGGTGCTGTCCCTGCTGTGTCTGGAGTCCCTGCACGGCCTCGGCCGTACTTCGTTCCGCTCCTTCAGCAGGTTCTTGGTCCTCCTCCGCCTGTAGAGTGTCCACCGCCTGTCCAATCCCAGTCACAGTTACCGGCGGCCTCCCCCCTGCCTGCTCCCTCTCCCTACACTGGTCCTACTGGAGGCCTTGCTAAGCGTCGTGAGCCTGCGTCTCGTCCTGCGTCGCCTGTTCGTGCTGCTCGCGCTAGTGGTCGCAGTTCGCGTCCACGTCCTCCTCCTGTCCCTGGCACGCACCGGATGTCTCTGCGTCCATCCACTGCTCCTCTGCGTGCCCCTTTGCCTTCTCCTCCTGAGTCCTCTCGTCCTGCTCTTTCTGACCCGGAGTCGGACTCCCTTCGTGCTGCCAGTCCTACTCTCACGCGTCTCCTTGCCACTGTTGTCACTGACCCCTCGTTTGAGTCCACTGCTGCGTCTGCTCTTGTTGCTGAGCTCGTCGACTTTGCTGCTCGCTGTCGTCTCGACTACGCTGCTAGTTTCGTTGTTGAGTCTGCGTCTGTCTGTCCTCCGTCCGTCGGGGGTGAGTGTGCCCTTGGCATGGACGTCCTTGAGGACAGGCAGGAGGAGTTTCAGTGTCTGGCTACTGCTTCACCTCATCTCGTGTCCGTACTGCTTACCCTTGAGGGAGACCCGGATGCACTTGACATCCCGACTCCGCGCTCTTACGCGGAGGCCGTAAAGGGTCCCTACTCCTCTCAGTGGCAAGCAGCTATGGATGCAGAGATGGCTTCTTGGAAGTCCACAGGCACCTACGTTGACGCGGTTCTCCCTCCTGGGGCGAACATCGTCAGTGGCATGTGGATCTTCAGGGTAAAGCGGCCGCCAGGCTCTCCGCCTGTCTTCAAGGCGCGGTACGTCGGTCGTGGCTTCAGTCACCGGCAGAGAGTTGACTACTTTCAGACCTTCTCTCCCACCCCGAAGATGACCACTCTTCGGGTGCTGCTATACATAGCCGCTCAGCGTGACTACGAGCTTCACTCCCTTGACTTCAGCACTGCTTTCCTGCAGGGTAGCCTGCACGAGGAGATCTGGCTGCGCCGTCCACCTAGCTTCACTGGGACTTTCCCTCCTGGCACCCAGTGGAGCCTCCGACGGCCAGTCTACGGTCTCAGCCAGGCACCACACGAGTGGCACGACACACTGAGGACTACGCTTGCGGCTCTTGGGTTTGCTCCCTCTACTGCTGACCCGTCGCTGTTTCTGCGCACCGACACCTCTCTGCCGCCATTCTACATCCCCGTGTACGTCGACGACTTGGTCTTTGCCACTACTGACACTTCTGGACTCGCCCACGTGAAGTCCGAGCTGCAGAAGAGACACACGTGCACAGGCCTGGGTGAACTGCGCAGCTACCTTTGCTTGCAGATCACCCGGGACAGAGCACGCCGCACCATTACCCTGACTTAGTCACACATGGTGCAGCAGGTCCTTCAGCGCTTCCGCTTCACGTACTCCTCGCCTCAGGCCACTCCTCTGCCTACTCGCCACTCGCTCTCAACTCTGCCTTCGGATGAGTTCGTAGAGTCGAGTGGCCCGTACCCAGAGCTTGTTGGCTACCTCATGTACCTGATGACCTGCACACGACCTGACCTTGCATACCCTCTTAGCATTCTTGCACGCTATGTTGCTCGTGGGAGACACAGACCAGAGCACATGGCTGTAGCGAAGAGGGTGTTGCGCTACTTGTGCAGTACGTCGGGCATGGGGCTAGTGCTTAGAGGGCAGAGTCCAGTGGTCCTCACAGGGCACGCGGAAGCTTCTTGGGCTGACGACCAGGCTACGCAGCGGTCGTCACAGGGTTACACCTTCAACCTTGGTTCCGGCTCTGTTTTGTGGCGGGCTACTCGCTCGTCTTCTGTTCTCGGCTCCAGTTGTGAGGCTGAGATCTACGCCGGGGCCATGGCTGCAAAGGAGCTTCGCTGGCTCACCTTCCTGCTGACCGACCTTGGAGAGCCGTCTCGTTCTCCTCCAGTGCTGTACGTAGACAACAAGGCCATGCTGGCCTTGTGTCGAGAGCAGAGACTGGAGCACAGAACAAAGCACATTGCTCTTCGCTACTTCCTTACTCGTGAGCTACAGTAGCGTGGTCAGTTGCGGCTTGCGTACATGGCCTCTGAGGCCAACACTGCTGATGTTTTCACCAAGGCACTTGTGCCTTGTGATCCTCAGTGCTTCTGTACTCAGCTTGGTCTTGTGCCTGTCTTGTCTCACTTGCTCACTTCTTGACCTTGCTTGTACTGTCACATATATATACTCTTGCTCTTGCTTGTTTAGCCTTTTATATACATATGTGCTCTTGCATGTGAACTGGCCTTCTGGCTTTGAACTTGTGCTCGGACTGTGGGGTGACTTTGTAATCCATCCTGAGCTTGCTTTGCTTTGCTTTGCTTGACTGGTCTTGTGACCCCTTGTACTCCCCCACTTTGCCTATGGGGGTGTGTCAGACTTATATGACATAGCGATTGTAGGCTATAGTGGGGTAGCACATATGGGGTACAGCTTTTCTAGGGTTTGTATTTGTACCCAACTTTCACATAGTTATTTCGTTCTCGTTCTAACGTTCTCATTTCCAACACTATCTACCCCTTCCAGGATGACCCCATTCACATCTGTAATGATGTACCAATAATTCTACCTTCCAACAATGCTAGACCCCGGCACTACAATAATTGTGACAATTATTATATGACATCACGACTTATACTGGGGACTATAATAAAACAGAACAGCATACCGATATGTATTATTCATTATATTGTGTTCGGATTTCCGATAGCGAGCCCCATTACTACACCTTGAATAGTGCAGTTTAATATAAAAACCGTATAATTATATTCGTATTAAAGTCCTTATGTTTTTGATCGAAAACAACATTATTTTAATATTGTATAGTCCTAAATAATTATTTACCTCTTTAAAAGGTACATTTTGTGATGACCATCTTGATTCTTGAAATGTAGCTGTTATACATTCGGCAATTTCAATGTCGGATATGTTTTCCACCATTAGGCTTCATATCTTCATCATCCATAAATTAATTAACATTGTTTTTTACTGTACATACCAAGGTATTAGGCTGCGATTGTCCTCGAGCAGCCTGCCCTCAACCAAACACGATATCGCTAAAGAGACGTAATCCTGGCCGTCCGTTGACCTCCTCGACTAGGATGGATGAGGGTTTATCGCTCATAAGCTGTCTCTCTGTCCCCCCTCTTCCCTCTCCCCTCTCTCCCTCACCAAACCCTCTATATCCCGCCTAATCGCATCTTCTACTCTCCTTTTGGTCAGGCAGAAATCCTTAGGAGGTATCGGCACGACCGGCCACCATGGGTAATCTCTCTCCCTTACGGGTCGGAATTTTCTAAGGTCCTTTTTAGCCGTCGAAGGAAGGTTCTACTCCACCATTCGTCCCTTCACAGTTTTGCGGAACCAGCAAACCCTAGTTTTGCCAACAGTACCGTCCTGCCTCATGCGTGCACGGGGCTGTGTGCGTGCTTGCGGTTGTGCGTGGCAGGAGCGTACAAGTACGTGTCGGAGCTATGGAAGAAGAAGCAGTCAGACGTCATGCGCTTTCTGCTGCGCGTGCGCTGCTGGGAGTACCGCCAGCTGCCCTCCATCATCCGCGTCTCGCGCCCCACTCGCCCTGACAAGGCTCGCCGCCTCGGATACAAGGCCAAGCAGGTGCGCGCCCGTCGCCTCGCCCGCCATTGCCGCTTAAACCCAGCTGCCACTCGGCGCCTTACCTCTTTCGTCGGAGCCGTGATGCTTAACTGTGCCCGGGAGCCGAGAAGCTTCGTTCTGCGGCATTCCGTCCGCCTGATCTCTTTGTGTCGTGACATGCTGCTCTTTCTGCCGTTTTAATGTTCCGCCTCGCCTGCCCCGCGCGCGTGATCCAAACGCGCGCTCCCCTTTCGCCTCGCGTGCCGTCACAGAAGCGCCAGTCGTTCTCGCCTGTGTCAGCTATGCGCCCCTTCATGCGAATCATGAGATTCAACTAGTTCTAGACACATGCGCCGGTGATCCGCGAAGCGGCATAGATTCGCCGCTCGCATGGCGCCCAATTTGTTCATGTCAGCGCATTCCTCGAGGGCACCCGGCCTGCGTGACGATGCGGCTTGCAGCAGCGTGCCATTCTTTCGGGGGCAAGCGGCACGATGTCTCGTCCTGATTCTGTTAGAATTAGCTAGTTATCGTCGCGTCGCGCATAGTCTTCGGGCGGTGCAATACGGTCTGCATGGACCTAGTGGATCGCTGCATGGTTTACAGTCCCCATCGTGCAGCCACGTGTCACCCTCCACTGATCCCTCATGTCCGATCAGTCTTCGTTGCTCCACCCTCCCGTCTTTCTCAGCTCACCACCCATCTAACCCGTGTCCCCCTCTCCCCGCGCTTCCCACTCTCCCCGCTCCCTGTCTCCCCGCTCTCCCCGCTCCCTGCCTTCCCGCTCTCTCCGCTCCCCCCGCGTGGTGTGACGCGTGGGCGCGCGCAGGGCTACGTGGTGTACCGCGTGCGCGTGCGCCGTGGCGGCCGCAAGAAGCCCGTCGCCAAGGGTATCGTGTACGCTCTGGAGCCCTCTCGCCCCCTCTCCCCCTCGCCCCCCGCCCCCTCGCCCTCTCGCCCCTTCCTTCCCGCTCCCCTCCTGCCTCCTCCGTGCCGCGCGCTTGTTTCCTAAAAAATGTTTTCCTCATGCCGTCGCTCTTGGCTTCTCCACTGCTCTCTCGTTGCACCTCCCCGGTTTCACGCTCTTTCCCCGTTTCCATTCTTCCCCCCCCCCCCCCCCCCCCCCCCCGTCCGTCGCGCGCTACCTGTCCGACCGCATCTTCTTCGTGATGTGGTGTGTGCGCGTCGTGTTGTGGTGGTGCGCGCGTCGTGTTTTATATCGTGCGCGCGTGGCGGCGGCAGGTACGGCAAGCCGAAGAGCCAGGGAGTGACGCAGCTCAAGTTCCAACGCAACAAGCGCGCCGTCGCGGAGGAGCGCGCTGGCCGCCGCCTGGGGGGGCTGCGCGTGCTCAACTCCTACTGGGTCAACCAGGTGCGCTGTGCGCGCGCGCGCGTGTGTGGGGTGGGGTGGGGGGGAGGTGTAAGCGGTGGAGTGAGGGTGGGCCATGGTGTTTGTGTGTGTGCGTGTGTGTCTCCGCGCCCGCGCTCGCTTGCCCTTGAGCCCACCACTGCCCATACACTAAAGCACACCCTCTGTTCCCCCTCACAACAACCCCACGCACGAACTGAGTGTAGGTGAAACAAACGCCCACATCTGTCTTCCATGCAACGCCCACCGCACGCCACCCTCACCCCACCCTCCATCCCCTCCTCTCCCCCCTTTTATCACCCCCTTTCTCCTCCCCCCCCCCTGCCCCGTCTCCCCCCCCCCCCTCCCTCCCCAACGCACATCCTCCACTTCCCCAACCTTTTCTTCCCTTCCCCACTGTCCGCTTTTTCTCCCCCCACCCCTTCCGTACGCTGCCAGGACTCGGCGTTCAAGTACTTTGAGGTGATCCTGGTGGACCCGCACCACCAGGCCATCCGCAACGACGCGCACATCAACTGGCTGTGCCGCCCCGTCATGAAGCACCGCGAGCTGCGCGGCCTCACGTCTGCCGGCCGCCACCACCGCGGGCTGCTGCGCAAGGGGCACAAGAGCACCAAGAACCGCCCCTCCGTGCGCGCCTTCTGGAAGCGCAACACCATGCTCTCGCTGCGCCGCTACCGGTAGACCCGTGCACGGGGCAGCTTGGGGCCGGGGTAGGGCAGATAGCAGGGAAAGATGGAGGTACAGAGTGGCGGTGCCAGGTGGTGATGGGGAAGTGTGCACATGGTGCCTGGATGGAGGAGAGGTCATGTTAGATTGCTGCGGGATCGGCTTGTCTCTGTTGTCACTACAAGTTGCTTGCTGTGAAGTATATTCACAAGCACTTGCACTCTAGCACTGTACTGCTGGCTTTGTATGGAGACAAGACAGGCGCACAACCAACATAGAAGAGAACAATCACCACAGCCAACCTCCATTGACTCTTTACTGCTAGATATAGCACCCTAGACCATACAAACAGGCACTCAGATTGGATTTTGGGACTCTGACCCATCAGGCGTAGGGAAAAGCATAGAACGACTTGAACGTTGTTGCATATTCGGTTAGCACATGTTCAAATACACCTACTAAAACAATTTCATCTTGGTTCGTGCGCACAAAAAAGTTCGGCAATTGCGATGACGGCTTTGTCTGCCGACAAACAGTAATGAAACGCATAAATCCCTATAGGTGTAGGAAAATGTTGGGCTGAGGATTTCAGCCTTAGGATCTTTGCAGAGAATAGGCTAGTAGGTGCTAGAGTAGCACAGCGGAAGACTTGAGTGAATGTACTTGTGCTAGTGTGTGAGAACAAGTAATTGATTAAAGCAAAGGGCATACAGGAATATATAGGAAAGATAGATTACAGGAAGCGGTTATGTTTATCGAGACGCGTAACGCTTCGATTATCGAGGCGGTTACTGTTCACTGAAGCGTCGCTTGCTGTTACGTAACCTCCAGGCGGTTACAGCTCGCAACCTCCAGTTGCGGTTTGATGTGGTACGCGCCTTTTCGACTTCATACCCCTTTTGTTGTGCTTCAGTATCGGGTGAGGTTCGATACTACAGAAACGCACTAAGTCATGCGTTTATATTCCCAACATTCCCCTTCGTTTCTGGAGTGTCGACGTGGTTAGCTTCGGTGACGTGGCCCAATCCGGTGAGCAGCATGCAGTACTCGAATTTCCCCTTTGGTAGCTTCTTGGTGAGATAATCTGCTGCCATCTCGGTGGTTGGGCAGTAGTCCAGGTAATGGTTGAGGGTGAGTCGCTCGTAGAAGATAACGTCACGTGCTGCTACTATTTCCTTTGTGTGGACGTCTAAGATTCGCCAGGCTTCGTAATGTTTTGCCAGCCCGAGGTGTAGACCCCACTGTGCACGTTGCGAAAATCTCCCTGCGCGTGCAGTGTGTGGGCGGTACTGTACCATACACCCAAAGACTCGTAACATTTTTGTGTTGCCCAGCTTCCCAGTCCACAACAGGTGCGGAGATGCGTTGTTGGGCAGTGAAGACGAGGACAGCAAGTTGTGTAGGAGGACAGCGTGGTCCATTGCTGCTGGCCATTCTGAGTTGGGCAGTCGTGTTCCACGTAGCAGCTTTCGCATGGTTGTCTGCAGGGTCCTGTTCATCCTTTCTGCCACACCCTGCTGTTGGTGAGCGTAAGGAAGAGAGATGAGGCGTTTGATGCCTCTTTCTGCCAAGAACTGCGTGAAGTGGTGTGACTGGTACTCCTTTGCGCCATTTGACTGAAAACTCTTCAGTTTTGCTCCCGATTCTCTTTCAGCGACAGGTAGCCAGGCTGTGAAGGCTTCTAGGGCCATATCTCGTGACGGTAAGTTGACGTGCCAGACATAACGTGTTGCGGCGTCGATGAAGGTGATGACGTAGTTCAGATCTTCACGTCCTTCGGTTCGAGGTATGTATAGGATGTCGCTGTAGACTTTTTTCGAGTGGTTGATAAACGGGGGCGCTCGGGTTGTGATGTGACGGGAACGGTTGGTGAGGCAGATCCGCTTCCGGGCAGATGAAGCAAGTGCCGCGTGGTCGTTTGAGTTCACGTCCGTTAGGAAGAAGTAGGGCGTTCTTGTCTAACACTCCGGCTCGTATTGTGTTATAGAGTGTTTTGTTTCCAGGATGTCCAAGACGTTGATGCCAGATGTCTTCGGAGGCGCTGTGACCGACGGAGCGTTGATAGAAGTCTGCGTTGGCGAAGAAGGCGGCGTGTGTTGCTGCACTTCGATGAACGGCGCGTGGTGCTGGCGTTAACTGTTGGGCGGCTGTCGGTGGCGTGTCGATGATGAGAGGTGGTGGCGCGACGGAGGGACCGGGCCGTGAGGTTTCGGAAGGTGGTTCCGCGACGACGGTTGGTTCTTCAACTGCAGGTTCGGTGGTTGTTGGTGCTGTGTCGGGTGTAGTTGTTGTTTCGATGACGGGTGCTGACTCTGGTGTTGTTGCTTGTTTTTGCAGGACGGCAAGTGCGTTGGTGCGTTCAGATTCGGGAATGGTACGGGAGTACCAAAAGCCTTCGGGACTGAAATTCGGGTTAAGATCTGGCGGGTGTGTCCAAGGTGCGAGGGCGACTATGCCGTCGCTGTCGGCGGTGCCTTTGTCGGGGACGAAATCGAGGACGAAGACGTCATCTTGTTGAATTGCGCGGCCGATGAAGACCCCCCCTTTTCCGTGGTAAAGACGAATTTCCAGGGCGTCGGAGTCACACTCCAGGTGAACGCCTTTCGACATGAGCTGGCTGACGCTTAGTAAGTTGAAGCCGAGGTTGTCAACGACGAGTACTTTGTTTAGTTGAAGAATCACATTTGTTTCATTTGACTGAAGGTCCACGACTCCTTGTTTGTTGGTGCGCAGGTTTTCGTTGTTGGCGACGGTGACGTCGTTCGCGCTGAAGAAACCGTGATGAAGAGCACATGTGATGACCGCAACAGTTGTCGAGGAACCATGTGTCTGGTCCGGTGGGTGCACTATTCGCGATGGCGGCGTACGTTGGATTCACATTAAGGGATGACGGTGGTGGTGACGGTCGCTCGTCGGGACTGTAAGTCGGTGGTGAGCCGGTAATGCACGAGTCGATGTTTGACTCTGTTGTTCGTGCCATGGCGACGATTCTTGATGTCTGTGCAGTCCCGAAGTGGAAGTTGATGGTCGCGTTGAAGTAGTCGTTGAGACGGTCGCGGGACGTTGTTGAGTTGACGCGATGTGAGGAGGCACTGGTCGCAGAGGATGAGAGAATGGTGCTGGTTGTCGTTCTTGCTGAGGGCAGTTGAAGCGTGTATGTCCTGATGTCCGACACAGATGACGCGTCTTTGATTTTGGTAACGTGGCTGTCGTCGATTGGTGTAAAGAACGACTGGTTGATGATGCCTTTTGTTGTTGCGTTCTTCGAACAGGTCCATTTCCTGCTGCTCGGCGTGAAGTTCGGCGCAGAGATGCATCTCGGAGAGTCGACCGTGAGCACGAAGAATTGAACGGGTGGTGCGCCATTGAGGTCCAAGGCCGGCGAGAACGACGGTTACAAACGCTTCTTCAGATAAGTTTCCTCCGCAGCGAATGAGTCTGTCGCGTAGTCCTTGACAGCGACTGATGTAAGGCATGGCCTTTTCTCCAGGTTGCATTTGAACTGTTGTCAGTTGTGCCATGAGTCTGCTTCGTGTGACGCTGTCGGATGCTTGATGAATGCTTCGCAGATGTTGATAGGCGAGTTCTGCGGAGTTTGCGTGGTTCCGGTAGGCCCGGATGCTTCGCTGCTCGTTCGGCGATAAGTTTCGAAGAAGTACGGTGTAGGCCATCAGAGAGTGATAAGTATAATTTTCCTTGTCTTTGTCTTCGCCGTTGTGTGGGTATGGCCAGGTACCGTTGAAGAATCCAAGAAGATTCGTGCCTTCCATCGGAAGTTCAAACTCGAAGCTCCAAGAGTAGAAGTCTTTCCCGTTGAATGGTGTGGATGTGTGCAGTCGCAGGATGTTGTTGAACTGTGCTTGTACTTGCAGAACTTCTTCGGCGTCTCGTTTGATGGCGGGAAGAGGAGTCGCTGGATGACGAGGCGGCATAAACGTGAAGGAACCAGGTGAGACTGAATTCGGTGTTTGTTGATTGTGTCGTCCGAACGATGAGTTGTCAATACTCATTGGTGCTGCTCCGTTGTTTACGCTGCTGCTGTTTGCAGGTTGTGAGGACTGCTGCTACGACATGAAGTTGAAGAATTGCTCCATTAAGCTTGGGTCGAAGCTTGTTGGCGGCGCTACTGGCGCCTGGGTGGATCGTTCCGTCGTTAATCCGGGCGTTGTTCCTCCTTCGGTCTGCAACTCGGAGACCGGGGGTAGAGTAGATCCCGTAGATGACCTTCTTTCTTTGCCACTTGCCATGTCTTGCCTTTCTTGAATGAAGATTGAACTTCTTGTTTGCTTGCAGATTGGTAGCCTGGAAGAGGCTTAGTGACGAGAGCCTTGTTCTCTGACTGCTCTCATACCATGTTGGGCTGAGGATTTCAGCCTTAGGATCTTTGCAGAGAATAGGCTAGTAGGTGCTAGAGTAGCACAGCGGAAGACTTGAGTGAATGTACTTGTGCTAGTGTGTGAGAACAAGTAATTGATTAAAGCAAAGGGCATACAGGAATATATAGGAAAGATAGATTACAGGAAGCGGTTATGTTTATCGAGATGCGTAACGCTTCGATTATCGAGGCGGTTACTATTCACTGAAGCGTCGCTTGCTGTTACGTAACCTCCAGGCGGTTACAGCTCGCAACCTCCAGTTGCGGTTTGATGTGGTACGCGCCTTTTGGACTTCATACCCCTTTTGTTGTGCTTCAGTATCGGGTGAGGTTCTATACTACAGAAACGCACTAAGTCATGCGTTTATATTCCCAACAGAAAAGCATCAAACAACCTGAATGTTGTTGCATATTTTAGTGGCCCATGTTTAAATACACCCAGGCCCTACAATATCAGGATTTTTTTCCATGAAATTCCTGATTGAGAAAGCTTGCCTTTTGTTCTTGCAATGGTAACGTGCTTCATTAGAATTGCAGTAATTACAGCATTCTCATCCCACTATAAATCATACATGTAAATGATCAGGGTGGGTGGGTGGGTGGGGAGTGGAACTGCAAAGTTCCGAAATGAAGACGTTGG